CCCCCCCCCCCCCCCATCCTCGCCCCCCCCCCGGTGTGTGTTTGCCATCGGGGTTGGGTTTTCGTCGCTTGGCAACGACGTTGTAAAACAAGCCAATTCACTTCGTGAACTCGGCAACCAGGTTACCGTTTTTTTTGTTTTTCCTCTGTTTTTTTTTTGGCGGTAACCATAATGGTAGTCGAGTAGATCATGTTGTGCGGGGTGGAGAACCCTCGCTGCGCAAGGGGGATGATCGCACCACGTTGTGTTAAAATGGTCAAGCACCCTCGAGGCAGTTACACAGTGCTTACAACTGTCTCTGGAAGTGAAAGCACCAGAAAATAAATTAAGTCATACGCAGCTGTCATCCGTACGCAAGGAAGTAAGCACAAGATGCCGAACACCCTTAGCAGGATGCAGCTCACCCTTCATGCGACTCGCCGAATACCTCACGGCGCTTCGCGCTTGGTGATGTGAGAGCCTGGTCAGGTGAGAACCCGGCGTGCTCCGTCCCGGCGTTGTAGGGATGCGAGGTCAATGGTCTAACGACTACGGCATGCACGACTATGAGTACACCCCCCCCCCCCATCCTCGCGTACGCGCCACCCGAATGTCCAAAGGACCTGGTGGAGTGGCAGCTTCGTGTCGCCGCTGGCCAGGAACTCCCCTTGAAGAACCAGGCAGACATCCCGCTGGTCGGGCACGCTATCGAGGCGCGAATCTGCGCGGAGAACGTCGCCCGAGGATTCCTGCCCGTCGCGGGAACGCTGCGACGCATGCGCCTACCCTCGGGAGCCGGAAGCGGCGCCGGCGGCGGCGACGGCGACGGCGGAGAGGTGAAGATAAGAGTGGACACCGGGGTGCAGGAGGGGGACGCCGTGAGCGTGCACTACGATCCCATGGTGGCCAAGGTGGGCGGCGTGCGCTCTACCGTCGTGTAACGCGAAAGGCGGGTGGTGATAAAAAGAGACAGGAGGGGGAGGGGAGGGGACAAGCGTACCCGGGGGGGGGTGCTCGCGGACAAACATCTCCGCGACCTTGGTGACTGTTGTTGTGTATCCAGGCTGATGATCAATGCGTCTGCCTTGAAACCTGCCATTTGACACAACCGGTCCGACACCTCCTTACCCCCGCAAGAATGTGAAAAACCATGTTGCCGTTTTGTTTCGATCTAGAACTTCCCTTTCTGTCAGTGACCCCCCCCCGCGCGCGCTTCTCCAACCTGTTCCCCTGTAATTTGCGCACGTGAACGGCCAGCTCATCGTGCACGCCCCGACAAGGTCGGCGGGGCTGCATGGCCTGCGGAAGGCCCTCAGGGACTTCCAGGTGGTAGGGCTACCGACAAACATAGATTTCTGCGAGCGCGTGGCGGGGCACCGGGGTTTCGAGGAGGGAGGCGTCACGACGGCGTTCTTGGAGGAGCACGGGGACGAGGTAGTCCCGTCCCCGGAAACGATGCCTCCTCCGCCGCACGCGGTGGTGCTGGCATCGGTGGCGGTCCTACTGGAAGAGGTTTGTAGACAGAGTTGGGACAAACGCTTGGGTTTCATTCCTTCCTCGGTGGCTTAGTTGCGTGCGACTTGACGCATGCGCGTTTTGCGCCAGTCGTATGCCGCTTGGAAGTTCTCGAGTGGCCTGGTTGGTGCCCTCCCCAAAGTAGGGTTTACCACAAACGGCCGGGCGTATCGCGGTTGTGCGGCCTGTCTACTTTTCCCGGCGCATGGGTCGCCTTGTGTTTCTAACCCGCCGCGCAACTCCCATTGCGTGTAGGGCACCCCATGACATCCACCCTCAACAACCTGCCGTGCCTAGTGTACGGTGGTCGAGATAACACGACGATCAGCACATCCAAAGTTGACAAAGGGCATTCGTGGTGGCAGGGAATTGGAAACCGCTTCTTCTACAGCTATATTGAGTACAGCTTTGGGTGCTCATGATGCGAAACCCTCCCTGCCCCCCCACCACCTACCGGTTGCGCTGATTCGGCCAGCAAACAGCCGTTACGTTTCCCAACGACACCAGCCCATGGTCTGCACGCAGCGGGCCGTGGCGAGCCGTAGGCGTCCGCAAGCAGAAGCTAGCCTTGGCTTCCCGTGACACAGCGGCGGGTGCCGACGGGGCCGACGAGGCTGGTTCAGAGGTCACCGTCGAGTGCCTCGCTGACGGTGGTTATGTGGTGGAAATGCAGGGCGCGAGGTTTGCCGTGAGTGGGGCACAGCTGGATGCAGGGGGCGCGATGACCGCCATCGTTGACGGCAGGCGAGTCGTCAGAGAGTGTGTGGTGGTGGGTGGAGGTTGTTGTTGTTGATGTTTTGTTGTTGCTGATAGTGCTGTTCATGTTGTTGTCGTGATGGATGGTTTCGAGCGCACCATTCGCAATCCTTCCTTACGATAGCCCGCAGAGCACAGGATGCATGCAGTCTTCCCGGCTCGGGACGCACCTCGGAGGTGACGCACGGTGTGCCGCTGACTCCTCTACCGGTTTCACGAGATCGCGGTTTTGACATCTGAGAGACCCATGCTCACTCCCCTGTCGTCCGGCACGAACACGATCTCTTTTTCGATTTCTGCTTGATTAGTTGAGCATTCGTATTTCTTGTTCAGGCGGTATTCGTTGGATGCGACCGTGGAAGGGTGGGGCGCTGTCGGCGCCGAGGGGGAAGTTACGCTCTGGTGCAACCACGGGCCGCTGGAAGGCGACGGTTACGATCGAAACAGGTATGAGGTCGTTCCTTGTCGGGGATGGCGTCACGCTTGTCCCAACACCGAGGTTGTCGCGTGTTTCCTACTCTGGGGGTGCGTCGCAGACCTCCACCCGGCACCAGCTTGTGGTGGTCGCGGCGAGTTTTTGTAGCAGTAGGAGGGGGCAGGGGAGATGCGCGCACCGTGTTGCCTACCGCCAACCATTGACTCGAGTCTATATTTTTTGGATTGTGCCTCACGAGCGGAGTTCACCCGCAGCGTGTAGAATAACTTTCCGCCGAAAGAAACGAAACCACCTATTTAGAAGACTTGCCACCCACGCGTGAATAAACCATAGCACGACAACGTGAACAGACTGACAGATGGGCAAATGAGCGGTAAATATGCACGGGCACGTCAGGAATGTTGAGTCTGTACTGTGGTACCAACCCTACAAGCGTGATTTCACCCAGCCAAACCAGTTATTGTTTGGAACCAACGAATCAACAAACGAAGGTACGAGCTGGTCGTGACGAGACCGAGAGGTCGAGGGGCCAGGGGCTCTTCGAAGTCGACCGCCGAGTCGACTGGACGGGTGACCTCGCCGATGCCGGGCCGAGTTGTGCGAGTTTTGGCGGAGTCGGGACAGGATGTCGAGAAGGTGAATGCGCGAAGCTCTTTGCGCGATTTCGATCAGGGCGAGATCGCCGGGCTTGCGGAAATTATGACAAATAGGGTGGACTGACTAGTGTCATAACGCCGCTGCCAACCATTGTTGTTTTTGTTGGTGTCGCATTCTGGTTGTTTGTGTTGGCCTTGAGTGCAATTGGTCGCGCTTTTATTTTGTGCGGAAGGTTCGTCACCCGGTCAGGAGATGGAATTGACGTTCTTTTTTGTCCCTCTGATAACCCTCGCCCGAGGTATAACTCAGCCAGATGAGATTCTTCAATGGACAGATCGATATCAATCCCCGGTCCTTCTTGGCTCTATATTACTCTTTTTCACTAGACGCAATGCCGGGATTATTGGCTTCATAGCAACACGAGGATGTGGACGTGTGCGTCGTCATCGATTTGTTTGTGCGAACTCCGACGCACTAGTCCTTAGAATCCACTAGAGCAGGCCCGTGGCTGTACCTCACTTCCACCCACCCTTGTCTTGGTATCGCACAACAATCGGTTTCACGTTTACCGGCAGGGACAAGAGCTGATGATCCTCGAGGCGATGAAGATGGAGCACACGGTGCCAGCACCCTTTGCGGGCAAGGTGGACTTGGTTTCGTACGTGGCGGGCGACCTAGTCGACGAAGGCTCGGTACTCATCACCCTTAAACCCCTAACGAAGTAGAAAATCAGTGCTCTCAACTCCGCTGGCGGACTGGAGAGGGTGTTCTTTTTGAAACATCTTCATCTCCTGGTCGAGGGTGCACGAGGAGAGAGTGGGGAGGGTGCGTGGCCCTCTTGTACATGCGAACTTTTGTGGTGTTTCTGAAAACCAAGTATTTATCGCCAAGTCGGGAAGGATATATTTTTTTCAGATTTGGCGCCTTACTAATTTCGAGCTCAACAGTGTCTTCTCGGTGATGAAGGTTTGGCGAGGCAATGGTAGCTGCAAGGCAAGAGAGGCTTAGCGCAGCCCAATAAAGCAGAGGCGGTGCTGTGATTCTCAGCGACCTTCCCTTTCCTTTCGTCAATGCATACATCGTTTGCTTTGCTTCCTTTGGGGGGTAGAAGATCATGACCGCGGGTTCCCATATGCATGGCCAATTTGTTTTTCAGAAGTTCTTTCGAACAGCCGTTAAGAGATAGAGACAACCACACAACTACTGTAGCTGCCGTTCGCAGTGTAGCACCACACAACCGACGAAACACCGCATGCACCGTCGGCGCCGTCGTGTCACTTCTTGAGCAACAAGTGATGCTCGGCGAGCTTTCTACAAGTATTGCTTCTCCTGGTACATGGTCATTTTTTTCCATTTGGGGGGGAAATGGAAAGGAGAAAAGAGCCGCCGGCGCCACAAGGCAGCCACCGTTTGAACTGCAACCACGTGCTTATTTTTCTGTCGTGTTAGACTACTACATCTTCTGCCGCACATCGTGCTCGGCGTTCTTTCTGTCGCTTGCGTGGAATATTCTGCCTGTGTGGGTCTGCTGCTACAACTTGTTTCCAGTTTAGACATGACGTGCTTGCACACAAAAAACAAAATAATCGTCTGTTGTCGAGGGGGCGCACTACGAAGCAGACTCCATGAGGCTGCTGCTTTGTCGCGTCTTCCTCCCTTGCACCCATTGCCAGCAACACTGCTGCTGCAGACTGCAACAATAAGAACACGGTTGCAGCACATGTGCGTGTAATTGGTAAACAGCGTGTGTTACCTTGGTTCACCCGCAGAGGTGTTTGCACGCATGCTAAGCTCTGGCTTCTCTCTATGTAGATATGGGCTGGAACCCGCCACTTCCATCCAACGGTCTATGCATACAAGTACAAGATCACCAACCTCAAAAAGGGGAAAAACGAATTCAGCAATAGCATGGTTCACGACCGCCGGGTAAACATCGAGGCATGGAGGGAATATTTCTGGCTGTTTCACAGCTCCACCGCATTCCCAGTGTTGTAGAGGTTCGGGGGGTAGTATCAGCGTCAACGTATCAAATGGAGCTACTGAGCGACATGACACATGAAGCAGTTGAATCCCGCCGCGCAACTTCCCGAAACGGCATGATGGATTCCACAAAACCTATTCTACAACAAGCAGACGGCTACAACAGAAGTTACCACCCCCCCCTATATTGCGTGGCCGTGTGGCGTTGAGCTTTGTATTGTTCAGTTCAATTAAACGCCATACCATGTCAGGGCGACAAAGGACTCAGAGGGGGTGCATCACCCTGCAGCCCCCACGCATGATGCCGGATGGGCTTGAGGTACGAGCATCAACATGGAGGTTGTTTGGGTTGAAAAGGTTTCACACAAGCAAGCAAGTCTGGGTTCCTGCCAGGCCTCTTCGAAGTTTGGCAAGCGAGCGAACAGGAGAGACTACAAGAGACTGCTGTGCTTTGGGTTGTGGTTTCGATCTCCCTTTCCTCTCCCCTTCTGCCCTCTTCGTCGCCGTCGTGGGCCGTACTGACTGACTGCTGCCCCCAGGTGTCGCTGCACACGTGTCCTCGAGCCTTGCTGCGAGAGCTGGATCACGTGTTTCCTGCAGTAGACTTGGATGACTGCCTTGCGATACCCACAAACCAGAAGGCGGTTATGGACCTGGTCGCGATGGGGGACACGGTGGAGACGGAGAAAGACGTGCTCCTCAACTCGGTGAGGCGACGCTGGCGGATTTGCTGCTTATCTTCGGGGGACAGATGGATTATGAACAAATATGAAAAAATGCGTGTCGTACATGCATGTAGGTTGAGACATCTAAACGCGCCGACGATGCAGCTGTTGTCGTCACACAATCTGTCCGATCACCATTCCTTGCACATGTCCAAAGCGATTACCCGGGGATGGGTGCAAACATGGAGACCCGAGCACCGAGTTTTTCACGAAGGTGCACGCGGAGGCACCTAGCTCTCCGACTGAGAACAGGCGATCCTTGCCGGGGGAGAGCACCATACGCAAGCCGCGAGGGGTTGTAGCCAAGCGCTCAGGCCGGCCTACATTGCACGCGCTTGCAATGTAGGCCGTCCTGATCGCCTGACTCCAACTCCCCCGCGGCTTGCGCGTGGCGCCCTCCCGCGACAAGTGTCGCTGGTTGTCATGTCGGAGAGTTTGTAGCCTCCACCTGCACCTTTGTGGTGACAAGACCGGTGGGAGACCCCGGGAAATCGTGTTGAACCAATCGGCAACAGACCGTTTGACGCAAGCAGTTACGGTAGTGGGTGCGGCCCAGATGTCGCAAGCCTTCGGCCAACCCCTCGCGCGTCCCGGGCAATGGTTGAGCATGGTTGCGTCTTCCCGGCGAAAATCGTGACATAATCCAGCATGCAGAAGACCAAGTCGTGGGTCGTAGTGGGGTACGAAGTGGGGGGTACAAGTTGTAGGTTGTTTGGACTTTGTCCCCGTTTTTGCGGAGCAGGTGGCTACTTCCGAGATGACGTGCACATGGCTTGGCTGTTTTGTAGGCGCGCTGCCGCGAGCTAGTTCAAAAGAGAGAGCTACCCCTGGCGACAAGGCAAAGGCAAGCTTGAGTGTCCGAATACCAGTTCGTTGGCAGAAATCGAAGCAGTGGTTGAATTCAGCAAGTGTGTGCGTGAGATGGGTCGAGCAGCAGCCGCAGTGTTGATCGGCCTGTATTGAGTTCAGCACCAAGGGAGAACAGCAATTGGTCAACGACAGGTTTTCCCTCGTCCATCATCTGTCTACATAAACCATCCCTCAACGAGATCCGTCCGAGGTCTAAAACATCCACAAGAGGCAAGAACCTATGTAGTACAGGACCCTGCCAGTACAGAGCCAAATCGCTTTGCATCTCGATGGCTGCTTAGGTCCCAAGCGAACTTGACATCCAAACATACAATTGTCCTGTCGACGACGCCAATGTTAAAGTTGGATATCGATATCGCTTCGGACTCAAACAGTCATGAAATGCATGGTGATTCGGATCTACATTAGCAGGGTTCTGTGCTTGGTTCTTGCCTCTTGTGGATGCTTTAGACCTCGGACGGATCTCGTCGAGGGATGGTTTATGTAGACAGATGATGGACGAGGGAAAACCTGTCGTTGTCTAACTGCTGTTCTCGCTTGGTGCTGAACTCAATACAGGCCGATCGACACTGCTGCTGCTGCTCGACCCATCTCACGCACACACGTGCTGAATTCAACCACTGCTTCGATCTCTGCCAACCAACTGGTGTTCGGACACTCAAGCTTACCTTTGCCTTGTTTGCCAGGGGTAGCTCTCTGTTATGAGCTAGCGCGCGGCCAATCCATGTACACGTCATCTCGGAAATAGCCAATCGCGCCACAAAAGCGGAGACAAAGTCCAAACAACCCCTGAAACGACCTCACTTCGTACAACACCGCAGGCACCCCACGCCATAGGAAGAAATACGAAATTTCCAGCACTCCCGAAGGGAGAAATATGGCGCTCACAGCGCTTTGACTACTGCTGTATGACGCCATGACCACTCTCTGGCGGCCTGCAACGACTCTGCTTATAGGCGGCGTTTTTGTGCCGCCATGATAGCCAGTGGGTGTTTTCTCGTCGCAGCCGCTAGCCAGAGTGGAAAGATGTATGCTACTAGCTAAACTAGGATTACCGTAGGAGTCGGAGGGATGGCACCCCCGTGTTGACTTTTTTATAGCTTATTTCTCCATAACTAGGAGGGCATGAACACCAACCGATACCTCTCGGTAAAGCCCTCGACGAGATGTTTCCAAACTACCGTTTTCGGCCGTGGTACCCCACTGGTTGTGGAGAAACACGCCACAAAAAGTGCCAACACGGGGGTGCCATCTCTCCGACATTTACGGTACCGAAGAAGTAGATACAGCAGTGTGATATGTTTCTACATACTTTTAGTGTTTTCTTTTTTCTTTGCCTTTTTGTCGCGTGCCATTCGGAGTGCATATGAATACTAGGTCCGTCATGTTTTGCGTCTTCGAGGTACCCCCACCCAACTTTGTTCCTAGCCGCATGGACAAAGTCCGGGGTGGACACCGAAGGCAGACTTTGAAGAACACTTCCAGCCAAACTATCCCCAAGATGGCTGAGTACGCCCACAACTATCGTGCAATTCTTGTAGAAATGGTCTAGTATCGCTCTGCCTGTTTCGAACAGCGGTTGTTCGTGATTTTTGTGAAGAATCGGCTTGCCGCTGTGATATCGTGTAGGGTGACGGAAAAGACGGCTGAACCCCTCTCCGCGGATAACGGTCCCGGCTGGCAATGCTACTTTAACAACAACGAGGAGTGTGCCGCCTAGGCGTCCGACCCGGAACAAAAATGCTAGCTTGTTATTTAGAAGTATGGAAAATGGATTAGGATAAAACGGCCACGTCACGCCCTTCCCTTCCCCCCGGTAGTCTACACCTTGACAACAATGCTAGCTTGTTATTTAGTAGTATGAAAAATGGATTAGGAAAAAACGGTCACATGTCGCCCTTCCCTTCCCCCCGATAGTCTACACACCTTGACAGCCCGCACGGCGGCATGCATCCGCTCTCGGCCCACAGCTGAACGGGTTCTTCCCCGACCCCGACCCCCTTCCCCGGCTTCCGTAACGACGCCTCCTGCGCGGCTACATGCACACGGCGTCGATTCGGTTCGCCCGGATGATTGAACTGGTGTGATACCGGGGTCGGGTTTGGTTGGAACAGTTCGCCAGCTTTGCGTCGGGCCTGTGCAAGCAGATCCGAGAGGCTGGGTATTGGGCGGACTACATCGACCCCTGCTCTGGGCTGCCGGTGGGTCGTGGGTTCTCCGCCTTGCCGCGTGTGTCTATCGTTCGGCATCGCGATAGGTAGATGCGGCTAGCTAGGCCTTCGCTCGACACGAAGCCGCCCTCGTTGCTTTTGTTGCAAACCCCCATGCTTACAACCAACGCCTCCAAAAGGGCATCAAATGCTGCCCGCTGGTAAGGCAAGGCAGTCGGTCGGTCCGTTTTGGTTGATAACTGTTATCCCTTTAACACCCAGCGGGAAGCGACAGAGGGACAGGGTGAAAGACAGAGAGAGAGGTATTATTGACTTCTTGAATTTTGTCAAATCGCCTTTGTGTGGGGGGGGGGTTTCGCTGTTCTCGGCAGTCTATAACCAAGACGGATTGGGGAGGGTTTTTCACAGCTTGAAGCCGCTGGCTTGGCAGCTGCGGAGGCCGTGACACCACTCACCGAGCAACGACAATGTCGGAATAGTGCCGCAGAACACTCCTACGCCCCTTTGCATGCTCTACAGTCATGCTCCAGAGTTTCCCATCGCGTAGGAGAGCTCTGGGTACTGCTGCGTTTTCGTCAGTGCTCATTTCGCGGCGAGATTGGGGAATCCGTGCATGATTTCAAGCTACGCCACAGGCCCGCCGCAGTCCGGTGGCGCATGAGCTCACACACACTTCGCACCCCAGGAGAGTCACATAGATCAAAGGAAGGTCGTTTATCGCTGGGACCATGGTCCTTCGCTCACAAGCCGGCGGCTCTGCAGGGGCGGGAGCCGATGGTTTAACTCCTTGCCATATCGTGGGGGGCTTTATCAACCCACATATTCGCGGTGGCCAACACAACTGCACAGCGTGCGGGGCGCTGGTCCACAACCTGTGCTTGCAGCATCTCTTCGGCACGGACGATCAGACTGACGGAGGAGCTAGCTGTGGTGGC